TGTGTGAGTGCAGATGCGCGGGAGGTGTGCGGGCGCGCGCGCGGCGGTGCGCTTGTTTCTGCGCCGAGGAGCGGGGCCCGCCTGTGGAGCCTTTGCATCGGGGTAGGGTTGGGGGATTCCCTGCAACCAGTGGCTCCCAGGGCGGAGCTCCGCAGGCGGCAGCGGTGGTTCTTCCCCCTAGAAGTGGACGGCAGGTGCTAGGGCGGGTGCTAGACCGCCCCCCCCAGGACCTGTAGACAGCGGCCAAGGGAGCAGGTGAGGAAATGACTCAGAGAGGGGTGCTTCCTGCCCCAGGCCACCCAGCAAGTTAGCAGCAGAATCGGAACCCAGATTCTGGACTCCCAGATCCTCATTTTGACTTATTTGGCCTGCCTCGGTCTAATTCTTGCAGAACAAATTTTGGGAAAAGGGCACCGGACTAGAGGTCAAGAAATTTGGGTTCTAGTCCAGACCTTGCCACTCACCAGCTGAAAAACCTAGGCAAATTCAGCCCTTTCTCTCTGGGCCTCAGTTTCCTGTTCTATAAGTTTGAGGGCTGGCCTGAGTGGTCTCCAAGGGTCAGCAAAGCTCCAGCGTGTCTGTGATTCGGAGTGCGTCTCTCTGTCTCTGTCTCTGTCTCACATCTCCTAGGCAGACCCAGGAGGATTCCAGCCTCTCTTCTCCACTGCACTAGCTCAGCAGAGCCCTGGTTGCTTGTCCTTCCTGCCTTTCAGCCGTCGCACAGGTCTGGTCCCTTGAAGTGTGTGTGGCATGCTGACGTGCAAGTCCTGGGCTTTGAAGGAGAAAGAAGCCATCAGATGTCCAGGGTTTGATCCCTGTATGGGCCAGCCACCAAAAAAGAAAAAAGAAATCCTCCTCAGTCTCCTCTGTAACCAGATGACCTCAGGGCCTCTGCTGCCAGCTTCGTGATAAAGACAGGAGTTTGGAGCAGTTTTTCACGCCTCTAGAGCTCCTCATTTAGGACAAGCGGGTGGATCTCTCCATCCAGGAAGGAGGTCTTGAGGTGTGCTATCAGAGTGCTACCCTGCTCCTGAGGGAGGTCACAGCTAACTTCCTGGTTTGTGCCAAAGCAGCAGAGTGAGGGATGCCATTGCTGTCTGCCCCTAGCTGGCTTTCCCGGGCCCACAGGCCTGGGCACCACACTTGACCACGGTTCTGTACATGTGATACCCCTGTTTTGCTGTTTTATTTGTTGTGGCCATTCTTTCAGGGGCCTGCCTTTTTATTTTTATTTACCTTTAAAGCTAACATGGATTGTTTGCTACATGCCAGTTGCTGGATGGCACAGCCACCTGCGAGGCTGGTACACAAACCAAAGTGTAAATTCATTTCCTCACAGAGGGCATGTGCGGGTGTGATGTTTCAGGCCACCAGCTCAGGCCTGCCTTTTCCTGAGTCAGGGTGAGTGGGGGTTTGGGGAGTATGAGTAGGGGCTGGCATGATCTGAGGGTCACTGTCCTAAAGGATGGGGGGAGTCCTGAGATGTGTCCCCAGCCCATAGACTCTCCACTGCTTGGCATCCTCAGCCCCAACTCTCCTGTCTGACCTGTGAGGACCTCCTGAGCTTACCCTGGCCCACCTGCTGGCTAAAGCTCTTTCTTGAGGACTGTGTGCCAGCCCGGCCCATCTGCTGCCATTTCCCTGAATGTGCCATGCATGGTCTCCCCGTTCCATGGTCCTGCAGTTCTCCTCTTGGGGTGGCCCACCACCATGGAGCCTGTCTCTCCTTCCTGGACTGTCAAGACCCAAGGTAGCTTCACGCCTTGGGAAACCTTCTCGTCCCCTGGTGGACCAGTGGCCCTTCTCTGACCTCCCACAGCACTGGGACTTATTTCACTGGGTTGGGTCTGTTTGGCTATCTGTCCCACTCAGATTTGAGTTCTAGACGCACAGCTAGCTCTTTTGTCATAGCAAATGTCTGAGGAATGTTGGGTGAATGAATAAGTTAACCCTACTCATGACTGCGATGCTCCCGTCCCAGGTTTGGTGGTTTCCTTCCTCCCTCGTTCCTTTGGGTAGTGTGGAGCCAGCAGCGGAAACCACGTTCTCTTTCTACCAGCATCCCAGGCTCTGTGCCGTGCACTCCTGGCCGGGGTGATCCAATTACTGCCCTAACGCAGACTTAGTGGTTTAAGACAACGCCCGTTGATTGTCTCGGTTTCCGTGAGTGGAAGTCTGGGCAGAGTGTGGCTTAACTGATGCTCTGCTTGAGTTTCTCAGGCCGGAACCTGGCTTTTGGCGCTCTGGTGGTGAATCTGCTTCCCAGTTCTGTGTTGGCAGACATCAGTTCCATGGAGTTGTAGGACTAAAGTCCCTGTTTCCTTGCTTGCTGTTGGCCAGGCTTATTCTCAGCCCCCTGTATTCCTGGCTTGTGTCCCCCTTCAGAGCCACCAGTGGTGGGTCGAGTCCTCACCACTGGACTCTCCCGACTCTCCCACTGCATCTCTCTTCTGCCTTCCTCTTTTTAAAGTCTCCTGGATAACATTGGGCTCCGCAGATAATTCAGGATCATCTCTCTATTTAAGGTTAGCCTTTAGTCACCTTACTTCCATCTTCAAAGTCTTCAGAACTTTGCTCAGGGCCAGTGGCCAGGCCCAGTGCCCCTCTTCCTGCTCTGAGTGAGAAGACAGCCTGCCCCATGAGGGCCATTGCCCTGGGAGAGCCTGGGTCTGCAGGGAGAGTGAGCCCTTTCTGGTGTCCTGCACACACAGACCAGGGTGACAGTGCTGGGTTTCCAGACGCCCTTGGTGATACCTGGGTGTGCTTCCAGTCAGAGCAGCTGGAATATGGTAGGAGTCAGGATTCCTGCACGGCCCCCTGGCATCAGGAGACGGGATCCCTTTGCTGTAAGTCCTCTGAGGGGCTGGCTTGGGGGCAGGGGGATGACCTGTACAGGAAGCCCAGGGAGATTTTCCCCTTAAGCCTGATTGGTAGGTTTGCTCACATCAGCTTCTTCACAAGGAAGCCACAGCCCACCTGGCCTTTTGTGTCAGCCTTAGCGCCCACCATTAAATCTCCAGCCCAGTCCCTAAATGCAGCATGCTCTCACCTCTACCTGCGGTAGCCTCCCAACTTCCCCTGGCTCCCCCACCTCCCCCCACCAGCACACACCCAGCCCCACTCATCAATGTGGTAGCGTGCCGGGGACATGGACTCCAGAGTTCCCAGGCCAAGGTTCAATCCCAAGCTCTGTGACCTTGGCAAGTAACTGAGCCTCCAACCCCATCTGAGAAATGGAGATAACTTTCCCAAAGTGTGAGGGCAAAATGAAACAATGTGCAAAAACCTAGAATATGCTCCATTGTCTTGTACCCATGTTGGCTGTTGTTACTGCCTCTCTTGGCAGCAGATTAGGTGTTCCCTCTCTCCAAAACCACGAGATATTGTCATCCTGTTTGCTCATCTGGCTGTCCCGGCCCGCTGTGACTTTCCCAAAGGCAGGGACCCATCTCTCATCTTGTTATCTGTAGTTTGCAGCAGATGCCTGTACATAGTAACCATATTGGGAAAGTGCATGTGGGCAGGAAGGTTGGAGCTGATGTGGCATCTTTTCCACAGACTGAGCAGCAGAGCAGGTCAGCTTCCTGAACCAAAGTAGCTTGTCTAAAGCTAACAGGTCTCAGGTTTGCAAGGAGGTGTCATTGGGCTTGCACAAGGACTTGCTGGGGCTCCACAGCCTTTCATGCTCGCACTGGGCTCTATTTCAAAGCACTGTATCATCTGGAGCTAAGTTGGAGAGTCTGAGGTGGCAAAGCACTAACCTCATTTTACAGATTGGGAAACTGAGGCCCAAGACTAGGACCACATTCCTCTTATAAAGGCACAGCTGCAGACTTTCTGTAGAGCCCTGCTGTTGGCCCAGCTGGTATCCTAGCCCTGTTCATTGGCTCAGTCCGGTGAGAATGCCCTCCCCCTCTGCCCCGAGGAGCCAGACTCTGGTTAGGACCTCTTGAGATTTAGGCTCATTTTTTAGCAGTTTTTCCTGAATATGTTTATTCCTTAACTCATGTACTGATTGAACAAATAGGTATCAGTATCTGCCCTGTGATCTGGGCTCAGACCTGAACACAGATGTGGCAGTGAACTCTTCCTATATCTTCTCCTGCTCCTTCTCAGTTTAGGCATCACCTCCTCTGAGATGTCCTCCCTGATCACCCCGCCTGAAGTTGCCTCCCTCCCTGCTTACATCATCCTGTTTTATCTCTCCTGTTTCATATATGGCTACTAAATACATGCTCACTTTAGAAAAATCTGGAAAATGCAGAGTTGTTTAAAGAAAAAAATCTTGTCTTATCACTTATAGAAAAATCACTGTGACATTTTGCTGTGTCTTTCCTTCCCATTGGTCTACTCTGCAAAGAGATGTCATTATCCAGTACCATTTTATTCTGCTTTTTTGCTTAACTTTAATTCTAAGATTTGCGAATTTTCATATTTTAACATCTTTGGATCTTGCACTGTACAGTGGACAGAGCAGCCTGCGTTGAAATTCAGCTTTTCCGAGGGGGGCTTGCATTTGCTTCTGATGGTCACCTAGGGGCACTGCCAACTTGAGAAAACTGTAAATGAAATTTAAACTCAGTTACAGTATTTGCTCGACGTGTTTTCAGACCATATCTTAGTACAAATTCAGGCTCAAACCAATGTGAGTGCTGGCTTGTGCACATTCTCAGGGGCAGTTTTGTTCTGTGCCTGCACCCAGGGCCGTGGTTGAGACATGGAGATTTCCTTGCTGACATTTTCTGCCTGACACGATTATTCAGAGAAGGAGTCCCAGCTTTATTTAGATGTCTCATTCGATAACTCATCCTGGGTTTTTACTTCGTTCGTGGTACGTGAACTAGTGGTGTTGGTGTGCTTTGTAAGCAACGGTGTGCAGGCTGGCGGGTTGCTCAGTTGGTTAGAGCGCCGTGTGGTAACACCAAGGTCAAGGTTCGGATCCCTTTACCAGCCAACCACCAAAAAGAACACCAAAAAGCAAAACAAACAAAAATAATCAATGGTGTCTTAAATGTGATGAAGTACCTAAGATAGAAACATCTCTTGGATTCACACCAACATGTGAGCATCTTTTTAATGGCTGCAGTGTTACGTGACAGGGCTGGATGAGGCTTTGCTCACGGGATCCCTTGTCGCGTGTTTGGGTTATTTCTGTTCTTGTCTAGGATAAGGAGACTATGGTCTTTCTTACATGCAGCTTCTTTTGCATTCAGATTCTTTCTTTTTCTTCTTCTTTTTTTTCTTTTTTGGTGGCTGGCCGGTATGGGGATCTGAACCCTTGACAGATTATTTCTTTTGGGTAGATTCTCAGAAATGGAATTGCTGGATTGAAGGGATAAATATCCTGAAGATCCTTGGTACATAAAACATAATGCTTTTAGAGGTTGATTGTTTTTTCTTTCTTCTGTGTTGTCTTTGCAGAAATGGAGTTGGTGCCACCTCAAGTTGGTGTGTGAATCTGCCTCTGTTGACAGTAGCTGGTAGAGCTCATGTGGCCTGAAAAACTCCACAGGGGTGAAGAATTAAAATTAATGAGGTAAAGAGGCTGAAGTAAAAGTAGGTTCAGGTATAGAACTGGATAAGATTAAAAGTCAACTAAAAATTTGGACCAGTTTTGATATGTTTGTGAGTGTGTACATGTGGAGTTAGTGGTTTATTTGGGGTCAGATTATATCCTCCAAATAATAAAGTGAGCGTTGTGATAATTTAATTTAGGCATTCAAATATAATTAAATAACATTAATTCAAACTATTTTTTGTGGTTGGGGAGCTTCCTGAATTATGGAATATTGTTAAATGAATAATAGACAAAGTATCAATTGTTTGTATTTAAATTGGCACTACTAAAATATTTTAAACAGTTTGCATGTGCAATTTAAGCTTTCTTCCCCAGTCTTGTTGCACTATTAGTTTACTCAGCAAAAGATTTTTTTTGTACAGAGGTAAGAGGTAATCCTCAATCCTTCTCTCACTTGAATTTGTCATAAATTCTGAGATATTGTGATGTGGATGAATGATGTGTTTACTGGATCAGAAACAGACATTTGCAAAATTGTAACCCTAGTTTCACTCTGGGTTGCCTTTTATTCTTTTATTGTCTGGTGCAAAGTAACAAAAATAAACAAACAAATTAATTAATTAAATGCCTCTGTATGCCACTCAGAGCCAGGTCCTTGAGGTACCTCATGAACAGTACCTTTAAGGGGCTGTGTGGGACTGGCCGGTTAGCTCACTTGGTAGAGTGTGGTACTGATAACACCAGGGCCATAGGTTAAAAAAAACAACAACAGAAGAAGGGGGCTGTCCAGCAGCACAGAAGACAGACAGCAGCACGTGGTGGCATAGGGGCCACCGGAGCAGGGCACCCCTGCATCAGAGCTGCAGTGGCCTCTCATGTCTCAGTACAAAACCCAAAAACCTTGAAGGCCCTGGCTGACCAGCTCCGGCCTGTCTCTGGCCTCATCTCATTGCTCGCCAGGCTCCTGCAGCCACACCAGCTTTTTTCTGTTTCTCAAACCCGCAGACCAGATCCGTTGCTGCCTCAGGTCATCAACATGTTTGCACAGATGCCCTCTGGGCACACATGCATGCTTCAGGCCTCTCACTCTTCACTCAGCTGTTAGAGCTGGACCGTGAGGACCCATGCCATGTGGTCCCTGTCCCCAAGGACTGGGTACACTGCCATGCAAAGTGCACAAACACAAAATATCGATTAGCCCTGAAAGAACCAAAGAGAACCAGAGGTCATTGGGCTAAATGTGATTAAGTCAACGAGGCAGGTCCGAGTGTGGTGGTGTTTAATACTAATTGATCAAAGCCAGTTACAGATTTCTTTGTTCCTTCTCCACCCCACTGCTTCACTTGACTTGCTTAAAAAAAGTCAACCAAAAACTCGAAAAAAGAAGCATTGGAAATAAGGTGTACTGTGACACAAGACTGGCTGGGAGATGGGGCAGCAGGTTGTGCTGTTGGCTGTAACTGAACTAAACAAGACCAGTGCCAAAGGGGTCCCCTGGTGTATTTAAGCATGAGCCAAAGAAGGGACCACCTGGATTCAAACCGTCACTCTGGCCGCTTAGCTCAGTTGGTGAGAGCATGATGCAGATAACACCAAGGTGTGGAGTTTGACACCTGTACTGGCCAGCCAAAACAAAACAAAAACCCCAAACGTTTAGTAGCTCTGTCATTAACCAACTGCGTGATCTTGACCCAATGACTCGGCCTCTCTGAGTCTAGGTTTACTCATCTGTAAAATGGGGATAATAATATCTGCTTCACAGGACAGACGCGAGATAAATGAGATATCTGGCCTGGCACATATCGAGGATGCTCAACGTTTGTGTGCTGTCCCCTTCTCTCTCTTGCTCTCCCACTGCTAGAGAGCAGAATGCTGGCAGGGAAGTAGGGAGATCTGTGTTAGAGTCAAGTGGGGTGTAACCAAAGGAAAAGTTAAATTATGTCATTTAAAGAAATCAGGTGACTGGCACCTAATTTGCTTCTCCACCTGTCCCTAGTTCTGCTTTATACATTAAGGCGGCTGGGGTGCACCACATGCAGCTCTGAATGAAGTTCTGCTGGCTAACCGCAGGCAGATTCCTGGGCCTCCACCCACACTCTCCACGTCAGAATCCCAGGGGCTGGGGCCCAGAAGCCAATTTTTTTTTAAACCTCCCCAGATGATTCTGTTGTGTTGCCAGGTTTCAGAACTTTCAGCCAGATGGGCCCTGAAAAGCCTTTTTTGTCTTTGCAGTTCAGGTTTCTGTCCCCATCAAATGCCCTGTGCCATGTGGGAGGTTTTACATAGTGTCTGGTCCAGGGTTCATCTGCTTTGTTATCAGAGATAGGAGGTCCTTCTGTTACTCACTCACGGGATGAAACTACGACCTGAGACCACTAAATCTAGAAATAAACCTCTAGCAACTGGTTGGTGCCCTGCTCTGGAGGTCGTCTGCAAGCAGGAGGAATAGCTAACCTCCCAGACCTGGGATGATCTAAACTGAAAATAAATCTGAGAGGGGAGATACGTTATAGGATTAAAACCTTGGCAAGCAATCCCTTCCTTCCCATGTGGGAGCTTCCCACCTAAGAAAGAAAATGAAACTCCCCAGAGTTCCTGCTTGTCTTAGATTTTTCTCTCTTAAGAATGTAAAAATTATTTACCGTTACTGAGATTATTTGATTGCCCAAAACAGCCATAAACTTCCCAGCTTTACCTAGGGAGACTTTGAGGTGGTGAACTGCTGCTGTTCACATAATGAATTCCTACTCCAAGTTCAGCATTACCAGATTTCCCCCATGAAAACGGGTAATTTCTTGAATTTCCAGTGCTTTTACAGAGCAGGTAGTTGAGAAAAGAGGTTCTGCTTTATACTTTCTAAGTGGGTGACTTGGTAAAAATGGAAATGGCTGGGCCGGCCCGGTGGTGGCTTTTACAGAGCAGGTAGTTGAGAAAAGAGGTTCTGCTTTATACTTTCTAAGTGGGTGACTCGGTAAAAATGGAAATGGCTGGGCCGGCCCGGTGGTGCACTGCTACAGTGTGCCGCTTGGGAGTGCGGCGGCGCTCCCGCCGAGGGTTCGGATCCCACACACAGACTGGCTGCCCACC